ATCACACAGCAGACGACGCTACGATTACGTCACCTCCCTCACCAAAATAGCTCCTCTCAACATTCTCCTGTTGCTGTTCTTACACTATATACACACAATATATATACCCATGCACATGTGTGTTGCCCATAGCGAACCACTAAGCTAGTATGGTGAGCAAAACAAGAGTGGCAGCCACACACACACAATGAGGCTACCTCAGTTCTCGCCCTCGATCCTCCCTCATCAAAATTCCTCCTTCCACAATACTACGCTCAACGCTAATTATAACCACAATCCTGCTATTATCACAATCCTGGTCACTAATTCCTGTAAATTAATAATTGACCACACGTTTATTTTGAAAAGGAACCTAAGAAATCATACCCCAAAAATAGGCGAGATAACACAAATGTGGCCTAAGTGAAGTAAAAACAATTGGATGAGAAAAAGTTGCCCTAGTGTTAACAGAGCAGACAACAACATTCAAGATGGCCACCGGCAAGAAGGAAAACAAAACAGAGCTAGATTTTTTGGGTTTTAATGAAGAAAGCATTGATATAAGCAGTCTACACAACAAATTGATAAAATTTGTTATAATATACTGGGTCAATGGGTCAAACCACAATGGGTCCCAAGAAAGCCAGTGGTAAGGTTCAAGGCAAGAAATCGCATGTGAGGATGACAATAGAGGAAAAGCAAGAGATCATTCGGAAGCATGAAAATGGTGCACGTGTTGTTGAACTTTGTAGGCAGTGCAACAAATCCACGTCAACGATATGCACTATACTTGCCAAGAAAAAGGACATTATGAGTGCTAAAGTGGCAAAAGGAGTATCAACCATCATGAAATAAAGACCACAAATACTTGAGGAAGTGGAAAAGTTGTTACTAATTTGGATATACAACAAGGAGTTAGCGGGTAATAGTGTTTCAGAGGCCATCATTTGTGAGAAAGCCAGGGTATTGCACGAAGACCTTGTAAAGAAAACCCCTGGAACGAGTGCAGACACGACAGACTTTAAGGCAAGCAGGGTATGGTTTGAGAAATTTTGAAAAAGAAGCGGTATTCATAGTGTTGTGAGGCATGGGGAGGCTGCCAGCTCAGACAAACCAGCGGCTGAAAAATTTATTGAAGAATTTAAAGAGTTTGCAGAGGCTGAGGGATACCTACCGCAACAGGTGTTTAATTATGATGAAACAGGACTGTTCTGGAAAAGATTGCCTAAGAGGACATACATTACCAAGGAGGAAAAAGCATTGCCCGGACACAAGCCTATGAAAGATACATTTACGCTTGTGCTGTGTTCAAATGCGAGTGGCGATTTGAAAATTAAACCCTTGCTAGTGTATCATTCTAAAAATCCAAGGGTTTTCAAACAGTATAAAGTGCAGAAAACCAAATGTGTGTGATGTGGAGGGCTAATAATTTGGAGTGAGTGAATGAAGTGGTGTGCCCTGCCATAGAAAAATATCTGCAGGAGAAAAATTTGCCACTCAAGGCCCCGCTTCTCCTCGACAATGCTCCTGCTCATCCTCCAGGCTTGGAAGATGAATTGTTGCACAGATACAATAAATTTCTCACAGTAAAGTTCCTTCCTCCTAATACCACTCCTCTAATTCATCCTATGGACCAGAAAATCATAACGAATTTTAAGAAACTTTATGAAAGGGAACTTTTCCGGAAATGTTTTGAAGTGACTGAAGCCACAAACCTCACCCTCAAAGAGTTCTGGAAACACCATTTTAACATCTGTAGTTCTTTAAAACTCGTTGACAAAGCCTGAAAAGAAGTGACTCAAAGAACCCTTATCTATGGCTGGAGAAAATTGTGGCCTGAATGTATGCCAGAAATAGACTTTGAGGGGTTTGAGCCTGTAAATGATGCGCCCATTGTTGAGGAAATTGTTACTCTGGGCCGGCAAATAGGCTTGGAATTGGATGGTGATGATGTGGAGGAGTTGGTGGAAGAAGACAACGAAGAACTGACCACCGAAGAACTCCAAGCCCTTCAAAAGGAACAGCAAGAAGACCCAGCTGAGGATGTTTCTCCAGTGGAGGAGGATGAGGCAGTACAGAATGTCCCTTCTGCGGACATTAAGAAGGTGTGTCAGATGTGGGAAGGGATGCAAACTTTTATTGAAAAGACTCACCCAGAGAAAGCTGTAGTAGGCCGTTGCATTAGTCTTTTCAATGACAATGTTATGCCTCACTACAGAGACATCTTGCAAAGAAGGGAAAAACAAGCTTCCATGGACAGATATGTTGAGAACATCGAGCAGTGAGCCACAACCAGGACCTAGTGGTATGCAGGCAAAACGTGCAAGAGAATGCACCCCTGAGAGGTCCTCACTGCCTGATGTTATAATGGAAGGGGACTCCCCTTCCAAACAGTAATACGTCTCCTCTTCCACCCTCCTCGCCATCTTCCATACGCCAAAAGCAGTCATCAGCAATGGTAAGTAATAACTTAGTTTTGTAGTGTAGATTTTGATGAATTAGGTATAAAATTTAGTTTGAAGTGAGGTTTTTGGGTAGTCTGGAAAGGATTAATTCATTTCCCATTATTTCTTGTGGGGAAATTAGCTTCAGGTTACGAGTTTTCGGGTTACCAGCTGTCTCCAGGAACGGATTAAACTTTTAAACCGAGGTACCCCTGTACCTTGTTAATGTTCCTGGCCCGTCTCAGGCATGTGTAGCCTTGGGTCGCAGGTTGCAGCAGTTGTCTTGACTTCAGGTTGAGGAGCAAGTGGCAGTCGCCTCTCTGGCAAGTCCCTCTTTTCCTTTATCTTTGGTTAGGTAGCTCCAGGGAGCTGAAGGGGCTCTCCACAGAAAACCAGCATTGAATGTAATGAAATGCCATTTTCTGGGTGAGACCTGGAGGCTTCCCGGCATTCCTCCCTCCTTCCAGTCAGCATTTTTTCGCATTTTTCATATCCAGCTTCTGAACTGAGGTTGGCTAGCCAGTGCAGGTCTGGTGGCCCCCTTTCCCCCTTCCCAAGGAGAGGGGAGCTGCGCATACAGTGGCGCAACGACTGTGGTAACGTCATGCTTGTATGCCTGTTTTCCGATTGAGGAGTTCTGCTTGTTCATTTAGCTTTCGGTTTGCAATTTTTAACCAATTGAAATTTAGAGATTCCTACCTTTCTAGGTGCCTGACCTGGTAGACGGCAGATATAGACTGCTTCCAAGTACAGGAAGCTCGTGGTCCCCTGGTAGGCATAGCACTTCATCGATTGACTGTTGCCACAGTCTAATATATACACATCAGCCCGGCGTAGCTCTGGGGAGCCTCTGGGTCTCACCCAGAAAATGGCGTTTCATTACATTCAACTCTGGTTTATTTTTTCAAAAGGTCAGATGTAACACAAATAAGGAGCAATGGTTTCAAGCTCAACAAGCCACAATGTAGAACTGAGAACAGATGTGTTGTTTTAAAATATTCCTGGAAAAGATCAAGGCAAATGGGGGGGGGGGGACGTTTGACAAGCCATCGGCTTGCTGTGCTTGTCGAGTCCACTAGGGTTAGTAGCCCCTCAAATAAATCAGGTACTGTACCACAGGCACAAGAAACATTGATATTTCATGTATCTTCCTTGTTGACCAAGTAAAAAGCTAGCAGTTCTGCTGCCTCTTTTGAAGGACTTGACCCTTAAACTGCACAACGAGCCTGCAGGCCCACGTCTGGGTGCACAACGTGCCTCCGGGAGTTTTTATTTTTAGCGTTCCATTCAAAACTCCCACGGCTACATGGGGTTCATATCGGCTTCCCCAAGGCTCTTGTAAACAGACACCATCTTTAAAAAAAATCATGGGCCACATTCCCGGGTGTGAATGCCTCAGTATTGAGTGAGCAACCAAGGCTGGCACACACAGCATAAGCTCACAGCACTGCTGTTCAGCTTGTGACCACAGCATCGCCTAATAATGTCAAAATATATATATAACTTGTATTATTTAGCCATGATAGTATTACAGAAGAGCCTGAGTGTGATAATGACTGGGTACAATGTTCAAATATCAGTGATTCAGTGCTGTTCACGATGTTGACAGCACTAGCCACAGCACCACAGCATTATTTCGTCCATCTAGGAATCTTCCATATTTGGAAGCCATGCAGTTGAGGGGTTAAATCTCTCTTTCAAGTCACTCAGTTCAACCTGATTAATTTAAAGCATTGAGGTCTCATGGTTTAACCACGTTCTTCAAAATCCAAATTGGAATCATGTTCGACAATATCACCTGCTATATTTTCCTCGTCCTCAAGCAAAGAAAACGCCTTAAAAACTGGCACAGGTGTTTCATTTGAGTGAGGCACTGGGCGAACTGCTGAATCCAGGTTTGGGTGTGTGAATTATAGTTTGTTTTTCTATTATAACCCAGTCTTGACCAGGCAAAAAAGCAGTCATTTACAGGGTTTATTGACACTTGCCATACTGTAAGGTCACGAGCATGTTACTACTTGGAATGGCAGATGTCAGTTTTTCTTGCATTCTCATTGATCCACTGTCATAAATTTTCAACCGAGGGCTTGCATACTTGATGTGGAGCCCAAGACTTACCCTGATGCCTAACATGAAAGTATGCCAAGCACACCTTGACAAAATCACTAATATTTATTTGTCCTTTGACTGGGTACAGTAAAGCTTCCACATATATAACAAAATACATCTTGACTATTCAAACACCTTCTAATAGCAGCAGCCATTATCTGAAAATGGAAAAGAGAGAGGTTATAATTAAGATAATCACCACATAGCTTTCTTGACAGTCACTACATAACTTTTGTGAGGGCATATTCTTGCATTGATGCATGTAAAACAAAAACGTGACATGATAGACAAAAATTAATTTCATTTTTGAAATCAGTGTCCCAAAATAAGTTAAAATCAAGCATTAGATCTTAGCAGTAAAAATTAAAAAATGTTGCCAAATGGATAATTTTTGTTGACAAGTTGCAGTAGATAAAATACAATGACCTATTGTTTAGCATGCTAAATTTGAAACATTACTATTTTCAGGTGACATGACAGCGGAGGAGCTAACTCGAGCTTTGTACCCAAATCTGGTATCTGGATCTGTGGTCGAGACTCGCAGTCATCCTCTCACAAGAATTAGAAACAAGGTGAGATTTAGTTTATAAGTTTTCTTGCATCAGTAATGTTTTATTGGCTTACAGGATAATTACTTTTTATACACATTTGTTCTTAATGTTCTTGAATGTTTGAATGTACATTATGGAACACTGAACTGAGCAGTTAGTTTTTCTTCTATTATGTATTACTACAACCCATCCTCCTGAAATTGTTTCTTTTTGTAACTACAGTATTTGGTTGAAAATACCAATACAATATGCAGTATTCAACCATCTGTAAGCCATTTTCTGTGGGGAGCCCCGTCGTCTCCCTGAAGCTATCTGAACTGATAAAGTGCTCTATTAATTTGGGGCCATCAGTCACAACTAGCACACCCACTCGTTAAAATATCCCCCCCTAGGATGCACCTAGGGTTAACTTCCTTAGGTTCTCTGTAAGTTCTACCCTTGAGTTTCAGGGTTATCATCCCTGGGGCATTCGGGACTCACTCCCCATTGAGGACTTCCTTGCTTGATTTTGTCTTTTCCCTTGGGGTAGCTTGGAAAAACAGCTAGAAAATGCAAACCTGAACCAGTGCCTGGAAAAAATAAGCTCAGTAGCACTAGAAATATGCTCAAACTGCATACTCCTAAGAAAAAAAAGAGGAAGAGATGCTGATTGGAATGGGATCACCATTCCCTCTATAGGTTAAGAAAACGCAATGCAGAACAACTTGAGTCGCCCTATCTCAAGAACGAAGGAGAAGGCTAGGTAGAGAAATAGAAATGCTTGAACTAAAGCTACAAGAATCATACAAAATCCAGGAGAGTCAAAGAGAGCAGAAGGCCATTAGTGAAATAAATAGAAATCCGAAATATTTTTTCTCCCATGCAAAATCAATATAAAAAACTAAATCAATATATGAGACATTGTGCTTTTGCAGGGTTTTTATTTTAATTTGCCTAGTTTCCATTTGCCTATCCTTTATTTTGCCTAGTGGGTGTCTGCTCCCTTTGTTTATTCATCCTTCTGTTGGATTGGTGGTCCTCCACTAGGCCCCTGTGCTTGTACACGTCACAGGGGTTCTGGTTTTTAACAGTTCTCTTTGTAGTTTAGAGCCAACCCATTAGCAATACCTTGCCTGGGCTTCCTTTAGCAGTCAGCCTAAAGGCACCTGGAAAACCCCATTGGGGCTCTTTGTACCTATGGATGTGTCCTCTGGGTCCCAACTCGCCAAGTGCGAGTTTCAAGGTTGCTCTGTCCCCTTGTCTCAGGGTGACACTCACCAGTTTTGCCTCAGTCATGCTGCCTGTTGGGTCAGTGACACCTTTGACCTGGAGTCTTGCGAGTCTTGCTCCTTACTCATGTTCCAGATTACCTAGTCTTCTGCTATTGATATTCGGTTACAGGCGGCTTCAGCGTTGCATGCTAGATATTGGGTGCTGCAGCGCACTAGGTTAGTTGCTCACCCGGAGCAACTAACCTAATGGGGGCATTAGTCGCTTCAACTTTGATTTTATCTGCATTCCCATGTCCTTACCCTGTTGGTGTTTTTTGTCCTGCTCCCCTTTCCTTCCCTGCTCCCAAACATCTGAGGGTTTCAGAGTCAGGGTGGGGCTTAGATGGTAGCAAGAATTGGGCGGCTTCAGGGACTGCCCTTTCCAGGTCGTTGACGGAGGCATTCGAGCCTGCTTCTCCTGCCGAGGCTTCCGGGTCTTACCAGTGGACCCCCCCCTTCTTCTCGGCCTTTCCCTCTGCATTGGGCCTTTTCTTTAGGGGCAGAGGGTGTGAAGGACAGCTCTGCTCTGGTCCTGGCATGGAGGCCGTGGGCTGGGGAAGGAGTTGACTGGGGGGGGGGGGGGAGAGGCCCCAAGTGGGGCCTCGTTTGACCCCACTTGGGTGTTCGTACCCTCGTCGTGAGGCTTGTTGTTGCAGGGGGAGGGGTTTTCGTACCCTCCTTCCCTGTATGAGTATAATTTGCATTCGGCTCCTCCCCGGGTTCAGTTCCGGGTTTCCCTGGGTTCTTTGGTTCCTTCCTTTACATGGTTTTCAATTTCTTGAATCCTGCCAAGAGAGGTTCGGGAGGCAGATTCTATGGTTCTATTATAGAAACTAAGTAGATTTATTACACAGGATCTTCCTGTTCAAAAGCTGTGCTGTCTGTTGTTATACTACTTCTCTTTAGTTACTCTATTCATTTAGTTTTAACTAATTTTTCTAGTGTTTTGACATATCACACTTGTCAACAAGACAGGTTTATAATTTAGAGGGTCTTCTCTACCATTTTTGTAGATTGGAACTATGTTTGCATTTTTACGTATATCTGCCAAGATTCTGGTACACAAACATGTATGTGTTGAAGATGTATCAGTTGAAGTGGAATGCTCAACTTGGGTGCACATACTGGTTGATACCTGGTTGATGGGGTTCTGGGAGTTCTTCTACTCCCCAAGCCCAGCCCGAAGCCAAGCTTGACTTGTGAGAGTTTGGTCCACTAGGCTGTTGCTTGGAGCAGCCCGCAGGCCCACATACTCACCACAGCCCGGTTGGTCCGGCACTCCTTGGGGGAAACAATCTAGTTTCCTCTTGAAGATGTCCATGGTTGTTCCGGCAATATTTCTTATGCTCGTTGGTAGGACGTTGAACAACCGTGGACCTCTGGTGTTTATACAGTGTTCTCTGATTGTGCCTATGGCACCCCTGCTCTTCACTGGTTCTGTTCTGCATTTTCTTCCATATTGTTCACTCCAGTATGTTGTTATTTTACTGTGTAGATTTGGTACTTGGCCAATACTGTACTGTATTGTACTGTACTGTACAATACTGTATTGATGTATGGTGGAAATGAGGAACGTAAATGAAACACAGGGTACAGGACACAGTCAGACTTGCTTGTAGAAGGAAAACATTTAAAAGATCTGGGAATTATGATGTCTGATGACCTGACATTTAGTGGACATGACTGAGCAAATATAGTGGCAGCCAGGAAAATGATTGGATAGGGAGCCGGTCGGCCGAGCGGACAGCACACTGGACTTGTGATCCTGTGGTCCCGGGTTCGATCCCGGGCGCCGGCGAGAAACAATGGGCAGAGTTTCTTTCACCCTATGCCCCTGTTACCTAGCAGTAAAATAAGTACCTGGGTGTTAGTCAGCTGTCACGGGCTGCTTCCTGGGGGTGGAGGCCTGGTCGAGGACCGGGCCACGGGGACACTAAAGCCCCGAAATCGTCTCAAGATAACCTCAGGATTATGAAAACATTCAAATCCATGGATGCCACAGCAATGCTAATACTATTTTAATAACTGGTGCTGTCCCATCTTGAGTACTGCTCAGTACTCGCTCACCATTTCAGAGGAGGAGAGATTTCTGAAAGAGAGGAAATACATAGAACATGTACAGCACGCATAGAAATGATAAAATATCGAAATTATTGGTAATGTCTCAAAATGTACCCTCCGGAAAGGACACAAGAGAAGTATCAAATAATATACATGGAAGATGCTGGAATGCCAGATCTCAAATTTGCACAGTAGAATAACAACGTACTGGAACAAAAGATACAGGAGGAAATACAGAATAGAACCAGTGAGGAGTAGAGGTGCCATAGGCACAATCTGAGAACACCTTTGCTTCTTCTTAGTCCCTTGAGTAATTTTCCCACTTGATTTTGAGTCACTTCTTTGTGTTCTATTGTACTCTGGAATTGGCATTTTCTGGTTCTCTGAAAACCTCATTTTGCACAAGCACACTTTGGAACTGTTTGTTTGGCGTTTCCCACATTTTCGTTTCATTCTTGGTGAATCTATTCCCCACTTTCAGTCTCTGGATTTTATCCTTTACTTGCAGCTTGCTTTTAAGAAATTTCTAGAAGTGGTGTGGTTCTGTTTTACACTTGTCCACTTTCCCTGTCTCAAAGTTTCTTTCTGCCCCTTTCCTCACTGCCATGTAGTTAATGTAGATACAACAATGTTTATTATTGCAGTATTTTTAAATCTATTTTTGTCTTTAAATAGCACTATAAAATTTGACAAGTTTGCATTAAGAGTAACTTGAATATATTACAGTGCAGCATTCTGATACAGTAGTTGTGTATTCAGAAATATTAGAGGGTTAGTGAAGCATGAAGTGCCAGTAATTTCAGAACGTGTAATTCAACACACACACACAAAGTAGAAACTAAGGCTTATTTAGGTGTGATAGTTTCTGGAGACTTAGTGCCTCCAGTATAGGATACACAAGGTATATGCCAACCAATTTAGAAACTGGAGATATGTACAGTGTACTGTATTCCTCCCCCCCCAATCCACACCAGTAAATGATCTATCAGTCTATTGAGGTTGTACCATAAAACATTGTATATAAAGTATTATTTGTTCATATATGTTTAGAGGTACGATAATTATTTTGGGAAATTATGGCTTGTCTTGTCATTCAAATGTTTTGTTACATATTCATACATGTTTTCTAATTTTCATTTTACATTTTTTAGGTGAAAGAGGAACCATGTTCTCCACAGCACTTCCTGCAGATGCCATCATCTCCAGATGACAATGATGACATTTGGGAATTGCTTTGTGACTCAGATGTGAAGCCCATTATCAGAGTGAGTGAACTAAATATTAGCTGTATACCTTTAAATATTGTGTTGGGCTCAACTTTTAGTGAAGGCAGATTTTAACGAAGCTTGAGAAGAAACCATCTCCTTGTTGTAGCTACCATTGTCTAACATGTTCTCCTTTGATAAGAGCTAAACTGGCAATACTGACCTGGCATGTAGAGGCCTGAAGTGAGTAAACATATGGTTGCCATGAAGTTGGAATCACCACCCACCCCACTCACCTACTACCAGAATAATGTGCATTGTTTCCAAGCCAGGAATCTGACTGATGAAAGGCATTTGAACAAACATTGGCTTAACTCTGCTAGCAAAATAAATTGCACAACATTGAGACTCACAGTAGCATGAAAAAATAAAACAAAAGAGAAATGACACTTTGCTTGACTTGTCTGTTATTCTGAGTGCATGAACAACCTGCTTGAACATTATTATCCTGACTGAAGTCAAGACCACAGCAAACATGCAACACACTAGAGTTAGCTGTAGTCTTTATAACAAATGGAAGGTGTCGTTTGTGTCCAAAGGGACAATGGACAACCCCAAAAAGCCAGACCATCAAGAATGAGAGACAGGGCATCATAGTATCTCAAGTCTTGATTAAAACTCCCTCTTGAGGTCAGTAAAACTAACTTTTGCTCAGTGCTGTCATAAAGCATAAGTGAACGTCCCTGTTGAAGGTATCAGAAAGAAAATAACAGGCACCTGTTCTTAGGTGTCTGTGGATCTCACTCGTGCATGTCCCAAAATGCGGATTGGAATGTGCACAAGACAATCCACAGACAAAAAACTTGCAAAAATAGAGGATGAATTGAGGTAGAATGCTTGTAAGTTGCACATGGCTGTGCTTCGGCATAACCTTCTTCCCTAAACTGAAAGGAGGAAGTAAAAAAGCCACTGCCAGGGCTCCTGCAAGAGATGAGAATCAGGGATCATGTCCCATGGAGGATAGGTCTGATTTCCCACCCCAAGGGGTGCATGAGAATCTGACATAAAAACACTAGTATCACTTCCAGCAGAACTTTCTACTAATGCAACAAGAGGATTTACCTGCTGCCAAACTTGGAAGATGCTGTATCTCTGAAATGGCTATCCTCCATTGCTGTCAGCTAGACTCTTCCACTCCCTCAAATACATTTCTGGGTGACGATTGGCAGCCTGGATTTGCATCCTTTCTGCAAGGTTCTGTTGTCTCATCTTTACTTGGCTGGGATGCAGATGGGCATGCTTTGATTCCTGTTCAAGGACTAGGATCACACTGTTTCTCAGACCTAAATTATTTTGTGTATGAGTCATCGTTTCAGTCCTGGCTGCAGTACAGTACAAGGTCCTGACTTCCTCCTGGCTGGCAGACAATCTCTTGATTTCCTCTGGCAAGTGACAATTCCTTTTCTGTAATCAGGCATTGGATTGGAAGGAAGTAAATTAAATCACTTCAGTTTATCACTATACTGTATATTTGCTTTCATGTTGCTGGATTCTGACAGCTTTGTGAAGCATCTGCCATATGCACATTGGTGATGATGAACAGTGTTGCAGCCAGGAAAAAGCAATATTACCACATAGTGGAACTACACTCAACACTAGAGTACTGTTGATTGGGGCAGCGTAGATCAGCCATGTGGCACCCTCGGCAGACAATCGGACAGTTTTATAGCACACCACCATATGGCCACATGTTCATTTGGATGTGGAAGTACTGTATGTGTATGCATTACAGAGGACAATGGAACAGATTTGTAACCACAGACAAATTTGATAATGGTTACTTGCCAGGCCATCGCAATATCGAGTGTTCATAAGTTGTAGAATCAGGCATCATAAGTCAGATGTTTGTCAGTCAGAGAATCCCTGTACTGTATGTTACAATGTTTGTAATAAAATTTATCAAAGTAATCTTACAGTGCAACAAAGTATTGGTAAAGTAAAAAATGTGTCTCTCCTACCAGCCCAATTTTTGTTAACCCTTAAACTGCACATGGCGTATATATACGCCCTGATTAACATGTCCCACTGTGCGCATGGGGTATATATACGACATTGGGTGCCAGGCACGATTCAAATGGCCCTCAGCTACACGGGGTTCACATCAGCTTCCTCAGAGCTCTTGTAAACAGACGCCATGTTAAAAAAAAATCGTAGGCAATATTCTCCGGTGTGAGAGCCACAGTACTGTTGGAGCAACCAAGGCTGGCACACGCAGCATGAGCTGACAGCATTGCTGTTCAGCTTGTGACCACAGCATCACCTAAAACTGTCAAATTAAATATGTAACTGCTATTATTTAGTGATGACAGTATTACAGTTTACCCCCTGACTGGGATAAAAATGACCAAGATTGTGATAATAGCAGGATTGTTGTGATAATTAGCGCTGTGTGGGAGGAGTATTGCTGAGGGAGGGAGGGAGATAGTGTCGTTTACTGACTGTGTGGCCACCTGTTATTGTCTGCATTCACCATACCAGCTCAGTGGTTCTCTATGATGAGCACAAATGTAGATACTTATATATAATGTGTGTATTAGTGTAATAACAGCAAAAGGATTATGTTGGGAGGAGCCATTTGGGTGACGGAGGTGGCGTCGTCTGCATGACTTGTCTAGCTGTGTAGAGGGTGGCCACTATTAACCTTAAAAGCTTAGGTGTACAGTTACGGTGCATAGAACATGTAGATACTTATATATATAGTGTGTGTGTATATAGTGTAATAACACTACAAACAGTATTGTTGTTAGAGAAATTTTAGTGCATTAAGAATGCAATTTAGTGCATTAGTGCAAGAAATTTAAGTGAGGTGGGTGAGGTAGGCAGCCGCCAGCTGACTGTGTGTGGAAAGACGTCTCTTAGTGCCTGAACTAACTATATCAGCTTAGCTGTACAACTGTGGTGAACAAAACATGTAGATACTTATACTGTATATAACGTCTGTATATAGTGAATAAAATAAAAAAACAGTATGGTGGGAGGAGAATGTGGGCGAGTGAGGTGTTGTTGAGGGAGGGAGTGGCAGCGAGTGGCTTAACCCTCAAACTGCTAGTGGTCCAAATGACTTTATCACCCATAATTTAATCACTATGTAGTGATTAAATTATGATGTTCATAAAACATTAATCAAATAGTTTTGCTGTTATTACACTATATACACAGGTTATATATAAGTATCTGCATGTTTTGCTCACCATAACGAACCACTAAGTTGGTATTGTGAGTCAAAATGCAACGAGGAGTGACTGCCACACACCAGCCTGCCACTCGCTCCTTCAACACCTCACTCGCCCTCATTCTCCTTCCACAATACTGTTTTTGCATTTATTCAATATACACAGATGTTACACATAAGTACAGTATTTACATGTTTTGTTCACCATGACTGTATATCTAAGCTTGTATGGTGAGTAAAGGCACAAAGACGTAGCTACTCACACGGTCAGCTGGTGGCGGCTGCCCTCAAGGCCAGACGCACTAATATTTCTCCTTCAACAATATTGTTTGTGGTGTTATTGTGCTATATACACATATTATATATAAGTATCTACCTGTTTTGTTCACCATACCTGTACAAATAAGCTGGTATGGTGGCCAAAGACCATAGTGGCCACCAGTAAACATAATAAGTCATGCAGACGACGAATCTCCCTCACCAAAATGGCAGCTCCCAACCTACTCCTATTGCTGTTATCACACTCTATACACACGTTATATATAAGTATCTACTTTTGTGTTCACCATAGCGAACCACTAAGCTGGTATGGTGAGTGCAGTCAATAAAAGGTGGCCACACAGTCAGAAGACATCGCCACCACCCTCCCTCCCACAGCATTACTCCTCCCTCCATGGAGCACAGCGCTAAATATCACCACAATCCTGCTATTACCAGAATCCTGGTCAGTTTTATCACAGTCAGGGGTCTTCTGTAATACTATCATCACTAAATAATAGCATGAACATATATATTATGGCATTTGTAGGCGATGCTGTGGTCACAAGCTGAACAGCGGTGCTGTGAGCTTGTGCTGCGTGCATCAGCCTTGGTGGCTTGCTCAATACTGAAGCTCTCACACCCAAGAATGTTGGCCTGGATTTTTTTTCTAGGTGGCATTTGGCAACTATCGGTCATGGCTGCACTATAGCTGCCCCTATTACAGGTGGGGAATTTAACACTTATTGCAGCTGAGGACTCCTCCCGGAGTCCTGTTTCGCCTACCCGCTCCCGCTAAGTGGACATAAATTTATGTCCTCTTTTAAAATATTTGTATAAAATTAAATTTTTATCCGATTTACTTTGGGTTTGTTTCAAACTGCGCGCCATGAGGCTCTCTTTCTTACCAATAGGCTGCATGGTACAATAAGTTCATGAAAGGTTCACAAACATAACAAAAGTAAAAACATTTCGTGTGTGTTTGACTCTCACTGACATGTTCCAGCGTTGTTTTATATTTGGCGCTATTCTATGTTATGCTTTGTTGATCTTTTTTACCTACGGGCTCATAGAACATTCTATTGCGAACACATTGACACAAAAATGAATGACGTACATAGAATAATAATGTCATGAGAGTGAAATAAGTATAAACTTTCAAAGCGCCGTGCGTCGTCCCGTCACCGATACCGGGTAACAATTTCACCACTTCCCACACTCTTGCGGGCGGGCCGCAATCATTATTCTACGCTTATATTCATATCACCGTGTTGGGAATTTCATTGCGAGTCCATTGATACCAAAATTAACGCTGTAGGACAAGTGTGGAGGTGATAACAATCCCAAGAGTAAAAACATTTTGTTGCTGTTGGGCGCTCACGGCGAGTCATCTTCGTAGTTATTTATTTGGTGCTGGTATCCCTATACGTTTCGTGACTTTTTTTACTGATGTTCTTCTAGAGAATTTTATTGCGAACACGTTGGTACCAAAATGAAATACGTAGCTCGAGAACTAAGGTCAGGAGAGTAAAAAGAGTATACACATTTTTGTTTTTACGCTTACGCGGCAAAACGCCGGGAGCACTTACGGTTGTTTTTTTTTACATTCGCCGGGAGGCTGAAAGTGTTAAATTATAGCGCTAGACACGAAATCATATATATATGACATGCACGGATTGAGTTTTGTCACTGAAAGCATATATATATGACTTGGACGGTTTAAGGGTTAAGGATTAATGAAACATATCTTAAGCTTTTGCCAATTTTTTTTTTTTTTTTTTTAACCATCAGAGTTCCTCTGTAGGGATATTGTATTTAGACACAATTCAGCAAGTACTGTACCTTAATTTTTGTTCTTTAGTATGATTTTTGCATGATTGTGTGGTGTTATCCGCAGGCACTGGACACTCCACCATTTACACCCCCCCAGGCTGAGGGCTCGCCCCCACAGAGCCCACAGCCACCCTCACCAGTCAGTCTCCCTTCATCTGCAGTGTTGCTTTCTCCTGCACCACACCACCACCAACAGAGACACGCAGCAAATGGTACCACCATCAATCACATCTCTCAGCCAATCAAAGTTGTAACCATTACGACACGCAACGGTTAGTGCAGTATACTGTGTGCACTTGTATGATCTTGACATTTATCCAATACTGTGTTGAATATTTAATAAAAATTGCTTTATTTGGTGGCTGTTGAAATTGTGAAAAGTGTTGTGTTTGAATAGTGATACAGTGGCACCTCGACATACGATTGCCCCTACTTACGATAATTTCGAGTTACGATGTAAATTTCATTGAAAAATGCGACTCGACATCCAATGGTGTCGTCGACTTCCGATATTTGTTGGTACACGTTCGGGTCGACCGAACACTTGGTTCCCAGTCACGCGGCGGACCTGCCTCGGTTTACTACAGCTGCCCGCTTAGTGACGATCGCACCTATAAGAAATTCCACTTTTGTGGGGATTTTTTGCATTTTTGAACATTAAAGTAATTATTATATATCATGCCATATGTCCCAGGAAAGTCAGTGGTAAGGCTCAACATATGAAAACCCATGTAAGAATGACCATAGAGCAGAAACAAGAGTACAGAATGTCTCTTCTTCAACAATTAAGAAAATGTGTGCAGCATGGGAAGAATTGCAAACCTTTGCTGAAACGACTCGCCCAAATCAAGCTGCAGTAGGTCGTTGCCTTAACCTATTCAATGACACTGTGATGCATCATTACAGACAAATGTTAAAACGAAGGGAAAAACAAATGTCTCTTGACAAATTTGTAGTGAGACAAACAAGCACTGAACCACAACCAGGTCCTAGTGGTATTCAGGCAAAACTTAGGAGAGAGAGAGAGTACCCCAGAGAAGACATCACTGCCTGATGTGATAATGGAAGGGGACTCCCCATCCAAACAGGAACAACTCTCCTCCTCCTCCCTGATCACCATCTTCCATACGCCATCAAGAGCCCTCCATAAAGTTAAGAGAAACTTTGGTACTGTATTGTAGTTAGAAAAAAACATTTTATTCAGTATAAAATGTATTTGTATGTTAATATTTTGGAGGGTGGGGAATGGATTATTTCAATTCCCTTTATTTCTTATGGGAAAAATCGCTTCGACTTGCGATATTTCGACTTACGATCCGTCTCTGGGAACGGATTAGCATCGTAAGTCGAGGCCCCATTGTACTTTATCCCCAGCATTATCCAATGGGTTGAAATTTCCATATTCACAAGACTGTGTTGTGCTGGACCAGGAAAATTGTCAGAATTGCATACTCGTACACTATCATGAACCAGTGGTAATTACTTCATTTGAGATTATTGAATGGGTATGGTATAACAATTTAGCTCATATTTTACACTTTCCTCTGATATAAAACAGCATATTGCCATTAATAAAAGCTCTTTATGCTTAGTTAATTATGTTATGCATTGTACTTGTAAATTGACAAGCACTGGTGTCATTTTGGTGTCACTAGTTATGTTTACATGTAGTCAACTCTGAAGGAAATTGTTAAGGTTACTCTGTGCAACAGATCAGTAAATGCAAAATTTTACTGTTTAGGATCATTTTAATTAATTTTTTCAGGCATATTTAATTAATTATCCCAAGTAATAATTTAATTAATTACCAATAATTTAATTAATTATCCCAGCTCCCAATGGGAGCCGGTTGGCCGAGCGGACAGCATGCTGGACTTGTGGTCCTGGGTACGATCCCAGGCGCCGGTGAGAAACAATGGGCAGAGTTTCTTTCACCCTATGCCCCTATTACCTAGCAGTAAAATAGGTACCAGGGTGTTAGTCAGCTGTCATGGGCTGCTTCCTGGGGGTGGAGGCCTGGTCGAGGACCGGGCCGCGGGGACACTAAAAAAAATAAAAAAAAACGAAATCTCAAGATAACCTCAAGATGATAACATGGTGGCTCCCTGTTGCCAGCAACCTGTAGAGCTTCACCTAATTTGATTCACATCAGGCCCTTCTGAGTCATTGTAAACCTACTGGGAATCAGAGACCAAAACCTGCCCGCCCTCCCTCTCTGTAGAAGCACAGGGAGCTGAAGATATGAGATTAGTCCAAGAAAAGACCAATAGAAAGGTTATCTTGAGGTTATCTTGAGATGATTTCGGGGCTTTTTAGTGTCACCGCGGCCCGGCAGCCCATGACAGCTGACTAACACCCAGGTACCTATTTTACTGCTAGGTAACAGGGGCATAGTGTTACGGCCCTATTGGGTCGCAACTGGGTTCTTTCTCTGATGTTGTTAGAGGTAGGGTATCCGGCCCCAAGTTAGTAGTGGCTTTCAAGGGGTGTGTTCCGTAATGCAAGTAAATTAAAGGGGAAGGGATACAAACATACTAAAACTTAAATATATATTGCCACCACCAATAAATAAATATATAAACAGTCACTCGCTGGGGCTATCACTACACTTATGTACACGTCTTGTCTTCTTCTGAAGACACAGGATGCTCTGCTTAATGGTGCTCAAGACGAGTAGCCCTGGTTCTCTTCTTGTGGCCTCTTGATAAATCCTTAGATTCTCTTAGCGAGTCTACCCCGGCCACAGGCCAGCCAAAATACAATCCCACTGGGTGCACCGTCGTGGAGGCCGTCAACCACAAATCCAGCCTGTAGCTGGCAGGTTCCAATCAGCAACGCTGCGTAGGCCACTCCACGACCGATACTAGGGTTGCGAGCCCTAAGCAGGAGCCTCGTGTGACTTCACAGATCACTCTCCTCACCTCAACACCCCAGTGGTTAGTCTTCTCCACCAGTCAGTCCTGGGTACGACAAATCCTCAACTGCCACGTCACAGGCAGGCTAACACAACAGTGTTCATCCGGGGGGTGACTCACAGCTTCTACAGCAAATGCGTGGAGGTTCTACGGCTGCCTTGGGTAGACTGATCCACCGTCCGATTCAGCAGTCCCAGGTCGACTCTGTAATCAGACACGTCATCAGTAATAGGGACACTCTAGGGCACGTCACTTACAGGCTTAGACACAAACGCCCACCTATCCACTCCATAGTTGGCGTTGCTGTCTAAGCGCCACCTCACCAGAGGTCAGCAGCGGCTGTGTTATGAGCTGATTAGGACAGGAAACTAGCCCTTGTGGCCAGTATATCTCGTCCTCACTAGATGGCGTCGTCCATTTGGAGGGGGTTTCGGGAGCTGACCCACAGATGGCGTGGTCGTCACTGCTCCGTGCTCGGACGCTGGGCTCGGGTCCGTAACACATAGGGTGAAAGGAACTCTGCCCATTGTTTCTCGCCGGCGCCTGGGATCGAACCCAGGACCACAGGATCACAAGTCCAGCGTGCTGTCCGCTCGGCCGACCGGCTCTCCCAGGTAGAGCGAGATAAAATGGACACTGGCAAGGTAAACAAAGCAGAAATAACCAAGAACTTGATCTGCTCGGTCATTAGGCAGTTTACTTGATTGCAGCAGCGTTGTAGCACCAAGTGGCCTCCACACCTGGCTACTGGCAGCATCCAGCTGACACATCATTTACCCTCTTGCTGCGTATTATCGTGTCATTCTTACTCTCATTTTCTGGGGGGAGCCCCTTTGGCTCCCCGAAGCTTACTAGGCTGATATGCTAATGTCAGACTTTGGCGTCAGTCATGTGTATGGAGTTCTATGGGCCTACCAGGGACCACGAGCCGGAATCTGGCCCCCTCAGAAGAGGCAAGGAGAGCAATGACCTATAGAAACCCCCGTGTGTGGTCGGAAGCATTCTATGTCTGCCATTGACCGCGTCAGGCACATAGAAAGGTAAGCGCCCCAAAACAAACCCCCTATTCTGGTAAAAATTGCTACCACAAACCTAACAAATGTATAGAACTCCCCTAAAAGACACGAGCAAACGATCATGAAGTCGCCGCGCCGCTGTCTGCGCAGCTCCCCCTCTCCCCGGGAGGGGGAAGGGGGAGCCCCAGACCCACAGTGCCGGCTATCCACCACCAGTTCTATGGCTGATGCTAGAGGCTGAGGTCGTGTGCTCTGGCTCCAGTGGTTGTTTCAGCACTGTACCTAGAGTGTGGTGTCTGTCTTCTAGGTGGTGCGTGAGCCGGGAGTGATTCTCCAGGACTCGAGCTGCATGCGCCTAGGGTTTCCTTCCCTAGGTGCCCTGTAAATACTGCCCTTGGGGCTTGGGGTTCCCTTCCACAAGTTCCTTGGGTTCTGGTGCCCAGTAAATACTGCCCTTGGGGCTTGGGGTTCCCTTCCACAAGTTCCTTGGGTTCTGCCCCTGCCAGGCCGTTTACTGCTTGGTTTTCGGCCACCCTTTGTGTGCTAGGGTGTTCTGTCTCCCTTGTTCGCCTTGGGGTAGGGGGCAGTTGGCACTGGTAGGGGCGCAGGGTACTGGGCAGCTTGGTTTCACCAATCATAGCGGTCGGCTCTGTTCCGCCTGGGTACACTGTACTCTTGTGGGGGTTTTCTTTTTCTTTTTTGTCTGCCTGCCTGGTGGGGGGGGGTCTACCTTGGTTTTTGCCCCCTGTATCCTGAGTACTTTTCCTTCTTCCTGTGGTTTTCCCTGCTAGGTCCCCATGAGTGTACACATCCCAGGGGTTCAGTTCTTAGAAGGCTGTTTGGTAGACTTGGGTGCCGGTTAGCAGTACCCTGCCTGGGATTACCTGGGCATGAGTCCCTATTGGTAAATGCTGAGGACCCTGGGAATCCGTGCGCGGGTCTGGTGGATGTGACCCCGTCCACCAAGGATTGAACCCAGAACCTCAAGACTACGAATTTGATTATATGCTGTACTATAGGGAAGTATACGATACAATGTAGCTTTCTTTTAATTCACTTGGAGTAAACTGTTATGTTTAACTTCTTTATTATTGCACATCCTAGGAACAACTGGGCCAGGATCCACGAAGGGAGGTCGCATTACTAAAACTATGAAGATTCAGCCCAAAATGGTCACCACCACTTCAACACAACCTCAGGTTATCAGCATCGTCAACTCCTCCAGTGGGCCAAAACTCACATTACCAAAGACAGGTAAATGTTTAAACTAATACAATGGTGCTCTTCTCGAATATACTGTGCTTCTGCAGATCTCCATTTGTAGCAGACGTAGACTGTTCATGTCATGTTGGGAATGTGATGACAAGAAAGGTGAGAACGTATAACAAAACATTTAAAAATTTACTTTTTCTAATTGATTTTAGTATCAAAATCTGCTCAAAAGTATGTGTTTGCATTAATAAAACAATTGTTCCTATAGATAATGAATAGTTTAAAGATTAACATTTTTACTGAAAAATCTGAATGATTAAATGCCATGGCGTTCCCTTGGCAGCCGATGGGGATCCACCACAAATTGATTTGTTTGAGGGGGAATTGCATTGCATACATCATTAATATTAAAGTACAGAGTTTCCTGGTACTAAGGTCAGGCAAGTGTTCAAATTATTAATATTTAGTGCTTACCTAGTTATTCCATCCTGTTCTCTTACAAAAAACGTTGCTTTTCACTCGTATGCATTATTAAGGCTAAAAGTTGTCATACTAGAAAATGGAAGCAGCTCGCAAAAGTGATGTATTGTCCTGTTTTCTGTTTTGGGTTCTCTGGCTTAGTCTGTTAGGTTAGGAAAGGACACTTTAAATTAACCATTTTCTTGACTTTTGAAACCTTACAAGGACCGGCTGGTTATATTATAATTCATTGATTTATGCACATATTAAGGTGTCTAGTTTTTGGCTGGACACTGACCATTTTCATGTGAATCAAAATCTATAGTGCCTTCTTTTTTGGAATTAACTAAACTCCAAATATGGCAGGAATTCTTCAAATATACTAAAATAACCATTTAAATAAGGAGGATATCCAAGAAGGAACTGTTGAAATAAAATTTGGGATATTCACACGATATGCACAAAGTAGTGGCAGTAAGTATAGTGGAACCTCGAGTGACGAGCGGCTCCAGTTATGAGCATTTCGAATAACGAGCAAGCCACTCGCAGAAAATATGTCTTGACTGACGAGTTTTTGCTCGATTAACGAGCGTTTCCGCTGCTTCTCAGACACCTCCGCCGACTATTTTGTTGTTGTTTTGCAAGACAAGTTTTCCACATGACGAGCTCGGTGCCGGAACGGATTAAACTCGTTAATCGAGGTGCCACTGTACAAGTTTCACTCTTAACGACAGTACAGAATAGAAAATCATATGGCAACACTCCTCTCTGTCAGCACAGTTCATGAAAACATTTCCCATTAATCCAGTGCACTGATGACTTGGGTGAAACATGATCACTTTGGTATTCAGTCTGTTGTTTCTCAGGTGGTCACTTAGTTTCTCCCTTCTAGTTTTAATAACTCGCATGAATGGCTAATTCGTATAATGTAGTACAGTAGTTGCAATTCTGAAGGGATAGCTCTCTTTATATGCCTTGAAAGGGGAGGGATATGCCTTAAATATAGGCATGGTGGTTTAACTTCTCTGGTGCGCCCCCACCTGGATTATTGCATCCAGGCATGGAGACCTCATCTCCAGAAAGACATAGCTGCTCTGGAGAAGGTGCAATACCGGGCAACAAAAAATCATACCAAAGCTTAATCATCTCTCGTATCAGGAATGGTTGAGGGCCACGGGGCTAACAGCACTGCAGACAAGCTATAATGGGGTGATCTAATAAAAACCTTCAAAATACAGTGCTAAAACAATTTGGACGATGTCGATCCAGACACTTTCTTTAAAAGGTCAGACGTAACATGAACGAAGAGCAACAGGTTCAAGCTCAGCAAGCCACAATGTAGGACAGAAAACAGGAAAGGCTTTTTCACCCATGGGGTTGTAAACCCGTGGAACTGCCTTCCCACCGAAGCCGTAAACGCCAAAACTCTGCTAGGTTTTAAAATACAGATAGAAAAGATAATCTGGGGGATGATCTTTTGATGGAGGGGACCTTTGACAAGCAGCCAGCTTCCTGTCATCGTTGAGGCCACTAGTATTAGTGGCCCTCGGGTAAATTCAAGTAAAACTTGATGTTGGAGAATGTTACGAAATGATAACTACTAGTTTGCCCTACTAGTTGGATCACAAATCTGACCGAGACATACTTTGTGGGGGACAGAATTAATTGGAGGACTTCCTAAGGATCTCACAAGTGTTCCTAGAGAACAAACAGTCAGGTCTATGAATGCACCAATGGGACACAGGCACATGCCTGGCCCAGTCATGTGGGCTTATACTTGTTGGCTAGGGCCATGATGTCAAGAATGCATCTTGCTTTACAACCATTGCCATTCAGAAACATGAAATGGCTGTCCCCTTATCTCCCCCTCTGACTGACCATAGGCTGAAAATTATTTTATGTGCATGCCTCTGATGGTGTGCACTCATGCATTCACGAGCAGATTTCCCTGCCATCGGGCACTAGGATGTACATCACTAAGTCAGCTGTGGAAATCATTCTCTCGATGAATAAGGAAATAGAGAGATCTAGGGCAAAGCCAGAAGCAGTGAGTTGGCTGAAACAAAGTCTTGGTGTGGGGAATAAACTGCCTTTCATTGAAAAGCCAAGCTTGGAAAGGCAAATGCACATTGTCACCGAGTTGTTTGCTCATTACTTATTTTATTTACCTTGAATACAGGAATTGAACTGCCAATTGGAGCTGATGCTTGTTGATAAAATAGAGGATGAAAGATTAATTGCTACTGAGGAGGCGGTAGAAGGTAATGCTTTTACTGCCTCCAGGGTAGAACTTGAAGATGCTGCAGATGTTGTGCTCCTAGGGGGAAGGGGGTGTTCATTTATCAACTTGGATGATGTCTCATTTGCCTTCTTTTCTGACTCCAGTGCCATAAAATCATCTTTGGATAGCCGCTCCAAATCTGAATCCATCAGCTGTACGTCGTCGTTATGCAGATCAAGAAATCCCTAATTTGTCAGTCCCATAATGTGTGAATTCACCTTTTTCATGTGTTCAATAAACCACCTAAAATCATTTACAAATTTAGAGGAAATTATCTTTCCCACACACTTCATATAGAGTTATAATAACCACTTATGGTGGTCTTTATAACTTTGTGACTTTCTTGTGTTCTTCTCACTGTTGTAGCTTTTCTAGAATTCTACGAGGTACTGGGTTTGCCACGTGTTGACTCGTGGCTCGAGAGAAGATTGTATGGATGACTTGCCTGATCTAGTAATACTCTGGCACATTACTTGCAGTAAGTAGGTTGTGTAGGGAGGCATAAACACAACATGGCCACCTAAACTATTATCACCAAGGCAAACAGAATGACTAGCTGCGTTCTCATGCATTGTTTAGCATGAGGAAAACGTTTCAACTACCATAATATTTGGTAGAAAAGGATTTAGCTTTTTAGAACTGTATGAAACAATATTTGTGCAATTGTAAAGCGATGCCTTCAAAAGGGAGGGAAGGAGAATAGAAGGGAGACGAGGGTTGGAAAGCATATGTATTTTTAGATCATTTCACAATACAGTATTTATCATCATTTATATGCTAATTATTGTATTTGCAGCAGTAACCAGAACCATTCCTACAGGAGGCACGAGAATAGTTCAAGTTAAACCGCCTTCTGGACCAACCCAAGTCACTACCAACACCACAATCACCAACCCACTCTCATCCATACTAACTACACAAGTAAGTATCTATGTAGATGACAAAGGTTATCTGCTACATGCATTATTTGATGCATTACTTTTTATGTTGATTTTGGAATGTGTGTCTGTGGACATGTAGTAGTTTACGTGCATAATATAACAAGGTAAATATTTCATTAAGATGGTCATTAAAGAGTCAGACAATTTTGCTAACAGTGTGCCAGATAATAAATGAACAATTATCATGCAGATTGGGAGCCAGGCAACTGTGGTCTCACCGCCGCCGCCACCACTACCACCACCAGCAGCCGCCCCCCTGGCACCGTTAGCCCCGGCCCTAGCTCCTGGTATGAAGCATGGCACCATGCCTGATGTAAGTAGTAGAATAGTAGTACTTGTGGTGTTAAAGTTGAGATGAAATGTGATTAAAGCATAAGTTTCATATGGAGAGGACCAATTGGCACAGTAAATGGTGGCATTTGAAATGAAATTACCACAGACTCTGGTGATAGTTGTGGGTCTGTAATACTTGTTACTCCATAGCCCAAGTCATTCAACATTTTGAAGTGCCATTGAGCAATATAAGGTTGCTTGTGGTGCAAGCACTTGCAGTGTCCTGGTGGGGCAAGGTTGCCTGAAGTGCTTATTGCAACATTCTCTTAATGCTTAAACTGTGAAAAGTATCATATGATGTTTTGAGTAACTGTTGACAAATTGCACACATCATCATATGTTTGGGAGTACCATGCAAGATTTAAGTCCCGTGGCTACACGGGGTTCACATCAGCTTCCTCAGGGCTCTTGTAATCTGACACCATTTTTTTTTTTAATCATGGGCAACATTCCCGGGTGTGAAAGCCTCGGTACTGAGTGAGCCACCAAGGCTGGCGCACGCAGCATGAGCTCACAGCACTGCCGTTCAGCTTGTGACCACAGCATCGCCTAAAAAGTAAAAAAATATATATAACTGGTATTATTTATCGATGATAGTATTACAGAAGACCCTGGACTGTGATAAAAATTACCAGGATTCTGATAATAGCAGGATTGTTGTGATAATTTGCACTGTGCATAGTTTTGTGGGAGGAGTAATGTTGAGGGAGGGAGGGCTGTAGCATCGTCTGTCGAATCTGTGTAGCCACCTGTTACTGTTTGTACTCACCATACCAGCTTAGTAGTTCGCAATGGTGAACACAAATGTAGATACTTATCTATAACGTGTAATATATGTAGTGTAATAACGGCAAAAGGAGTGTTGGGAGAAGCCATTTTGGTGAGGGAGGTGGCATCATCTGCATGACTTGTCATGATGTGTAAGGGTGGCCACTATGCTCTTTGGGCAATATACCAGCTTATTTTAACAGTTATGGTGAACAAAACATGGAGATACTTGTATTTAATGTGTGTATATACTCTCTCTACTCGATTGTCCAGACTATATGGGAAGGACCCCCAGCTGGATAATCACGTTTTCTGGATTAGAGTACTTTTTTACCTCCGAGTCCAAAAGTGACCATTTCCAACTATTTTTATACTACAAACAACATACTTTGAAATGCCTTGCGACATATAATTATTAATTATTCAACTAGAAACCTCAACTTACCTTGTTGGTGTTCGTCTTCTTGATTGATGCCACACATCTTGAAGTTAAGAATTCTTGACAATTTACGTAACCTATACTAACACAACACTAAAATTAACACTTAAAATTACTGTACAGTTCATTAAGCAAAGTTAGTTTTGACTGCCAGCTGCTGAAGCCTCACTGGTTGAAGGCACTTGGCTTGTCTGTGATGCCTCACTGGTGAAGGCGCTTGGCTTGATTTTCTTACCATATAAGAATCAAGTTTAGCTTGCCTTCTGTGTTCATTGGCCTGTTGTATGATCAGCTCTATGGTTTGCCTCAGGTACTGATACTGTACATGTTTCCAACTTCTGGATTAGCACAGTTGGATGAAAAATGAATTAAGCCATCAACATAGGTCATGAGTAAACTGTGTCTCGTGGTCAGTGGTGCTGGTTCTTCACTGCTTTCTTCATCCTCCTCCTCTTCGTCGACCTCACCAGTAATAGACTGGAGAATCTCGTCTTCACTCATCACACACACCATACCCTGGGTCATTGGCATCTCTTTCAAGCCAATCAACCACATCCTGTCTTTTACGTTTTCACCAGCATTTCTGAACATTTCATGGATTTCATCTGTAAATCCTTCAAAATTCATTTCTTCATCCTCATCATTTCTGACCGTAGATGTGAGGATTTTTTTCCAGGCATTCTTCAAAGTTGATTCCTTTACTTCACTTCCACACCCTGGTCCAGTTATAGATCCTTGATTGTATAGTTTTTCAAATTCTCAAGTTTTTTTTTTAGCCCTGTTATCCACACAGAGTACCACATCTTCTTCACACATCTTCCGGAAGAGGAAAAATCACCAAAACTTCGTTGAGCATCTTTTTGGTGTACAACCTCTTCGTGGCACAGATAACTCCCTGATCCATAGGCTGGATGAGAGAGGTTGTGTTAGGAGGAAGCGCCATACACGTTATCTTGCCATTATGTGAGGTTAACGTGTCAATTTTGGGGTGGGCAGGCGCATTATCAAGCAGCGAAGCCCGAACTTTGCTTTGCATCACTTTGAGTATCTTAACTTGATAGTCACAAATTTCCCTGCAGAACACATCATAAAACTAGGAAAGAAAGATCTGTGTAAACCATGCATTCTTTGAGTCATAATATTTCACAGGCAGTCTGTCCATGCAATGTTGCAAGGCTCTTGGTTTCCTTGATTTGCGAGCAATTGCACACAAGATTCTGTCTGTGCCGTCGGCATTCGCACATATCATGGCTGACAGCCTGTCCTTGTTAACCTTACGGCCTGGCACACAACCCTCACTCCTCATTGCTAGAGTTTTTTTCTAGTAAACTCCTCCAATACAGCCCAGTTTCATCAGCATTATAAATTTGATAAGCATATAAATTATTTGACAAAGTGTGTGTTCTTAATTTGTGTTTAAATGGTTCTACACTGCTTATATCTGCACTCAATTTTTCACCGAGAATTTTCCTCTTCACAATATTGTGCCTCCCTTTGAACTTTGCAACCCACCCTTCACTAGCTTGGAAATCCTTTATTCCAAGGCTTGCTGCAAACCTGCTTGCAACATTTTGTATTTCTGGACCACGAATTGTCACGCCAGCTGTGCGGTGCTGAGCAAATCACTTGTACACAGCCTCATCCAACTGTACATGCGTCGAAGTTTTCAAAGTTTCTCTACCACACCCTCTGCTAGTGTTTGCACCTTTACTCTCACATGTTGACATGTATTTCAGGTATTGCTCTTTTTGTTTCCTTATATCAGAAACAGTACTAGTGCCTATATTAAATTCCTTGGCAACACCTGAAGTCGACCTGGGGCAGGCAGGCACGTCACGTAGGCCGCCAGGAGGAAAAAAATTCACAATATTTTTTAAGGAAACTTCAGTCTGTGCAAATTGTTTTTAGGAAACTTGTACAGTATATTTATTACATAATTACTAGTATTTCTTTTGTTTTTGGCTACGATGAATTGTTCTAAAATTGATGGTAATTACTGTACTGTAGTGTATAGGCCCCTCCACATCCCCCTTATCCCCCAGGTGGTCCCACCCTGCTTGATACCTGGTTGATACCTGGTTGATACCTGGTTGATGGGGTTCTGGGAGTTCTTCTACTCCCCAAGCCCGGCCCGAGACCAGGCTCGACTTGTGAGAGTTTGGTCCACCAGGCTGTTGCTTGGAGCGGCCCTCAGGCCCACATACCCACCACAGCCCGGTTCTCTTAGAAAACAGTCCAGTTTTCTCTTGAAGGTGTCTACCCAACTCTCCCCTCTCTCCCGACACCACCCACCCACCCCACCCCCTCCTACACCACGCGCCTCGAGCCACAGCCAGACGGGATTAATACAGTATGGCTCGCCGCCTGGCTTTCTTATCCGGACAGTTCACCGCTTGTCCGGCTGACTGTCCGGATAGTGTAACATCAGCAGCAAGTTAACCAACTCAGATTTTTTATCCGGCCATACACCCGCTGGTCTGGCTCCCATGGACATTTTGGCTGGATAGTGAGAACTTTATCCGGCCACGATTTTAACCGGATAAGGGCGTTTTCCAGATGGTCTGATTCTGGATAATCGAGTGTCTACAGTATAGTGAAATATCACCACAAACAATATACAGGGGTACCATGGTTTAAGAATTTAATCTGTTCCTGGAGACAGTTCGTAACCCGAAAATTCGTAAACCGAAGCAAATTTCCCCATAAGAAATAATGGGAAATGAATTAATCCGTTCCTGACTTCTCAAAAACGTCTCTTCAAAGTAAATGTTATACCTAATTCACCCAAATCTTCACTACAAAAGTATGTTCAAGTTATTACTTACCCTTACTGATGACTCCTGTTGGCATATGGAAGATGGTGAGGAGAGGTGTTACTGTTTGGAAGGGGAGTCCCCTTCCATTATAACATCAGGCGGTGATGATTTCTCTGGAGTGCACTCTCTGGCTCGTTTTGCCTGCATACCACTAGGTCCTGGTTGTGGCTCACTGCTTGATTTTCTCACTTTTCTCACAAGGAAACGTTCCATTGAAAATTGTTTTTCTCTTCTTTGCAACATTTGTCTGTAACGAGGCATCACATTGTCATTAAAAAGATCAATGTAACAGCCTACTACAGCTTTATCTAGGTGATTCTTTTCAGCAGAACTTTGCAGTCCTTCCCATTCTGAACACATTTCCTTAATGATGAAGGGACATTCTCTACTGCCTCCTCTTCCTTCCCTGAAGATTTATTGTACTGCCTAGCTAGTTCAACAACACGAGTACCATTTTCATGCTTATGAATGATCTCTTGTTTTTCCCTCTATGGTCATTCTCACATGTGATTTCTTGCCTTGAACCTACCACTGGCTTTCTTGGGACCCATGGCAAGATGTATAATAACAACTTTTATGCTGAAATGGCCAAAAATCTGACAAAAAACTGTAAATTCTTGTGACTAATTCAGGCAGGATAGTCACTGGGCATGAGGCACTGGTAAACTGAGGTACGATTGCTGTGCCACCACGCGCTAGGTCGGCCGTACGCATATCAACAAACTCGTATCCCGATGCAAAAGTTCGTATCCTGATTCAGATTTTCCGAACAAATCCGGCTCGTGACCCGAAAAGTTCATAAACAAGGACGTTCATAACCAGAGGTACCACTGTACTTGAAGGAGGAATGTTAGTGCGTCTGGCATTGAACCAGTGAGGGAAGGAGCATTAGCTGCGTGTGGCACCCTTTGTCAGTCTGAACTAACCATACCAGCTTATCCATTCGATTTGACAGCCTGTATGGGGCTGTACCCTGGTCGTTATTTCCGGAGCTCTGGTATTTCCGAAGTTAAGTGTTGGCAAATTTTTCAAGTAACTTTCAGGTAGGATATATTTTATACTATATAACTAAAATAAAAAGTTCAGTGTGTAATTGCGTTCCAATTTATTGCCACGCCGACGATTAAGCCAGCTGTTGTGTGCTGCACAGATGATGTATGAACACGCTCTGATGGGTAGGAAAAAATTGGTTTATTCCTTTGGATTGCAAAATATTTCATGTATCAATCATTGATTGTTAATATTTTCTCAATAAAATTTTAGAGATGTGTTTTGTTTTACTCTGTACAGTGAAGGTAATGTATTTTTAATGATATGACACAGGCTGTGGCGGCCAGGCCATACAATGGCGATCGAGCCTTGTCACTGAGAGCTAGCCAAGACGAAATCTTTTGAATTTACCTTTTCTCTGCTAATGATAGAATATACAATGGGGCCTCGGCTTACGATGCTAATCCGTTCTAAGAGACAAATCGTAAGTCGAAATATCGTAAGTCAAAACCATATTTGCCATAAGAAATAAAGGGATTTGAATTAATCCGTTCCCCACCCTCTAAAATATTAACATACAAATACATTTTATACTGAATAAAATGTTTTTTTCTAACTACAATACAGTACCAAAGTTTCTCTTAACTTTATGGAGGGCTCTTGATGGCGTATGGAAGATGGTGATCAGGGAGGAGGAGGAGAGTTGTTCCTGTTTGGATGGGGAGTCCCCTTCCATTATCACATCAGGCAGTGATGTCTTCTCTGGGGTACTCTCTCTCTCTCCTAAGTTTTGCCTGAATACCACTAGGACCTGGTTGTGGTTCAGTGCTTGTTTGTCTCACTACAAATTTGTCAAGAGACATTTGTTTTTCCCTTCGTTTTAACATTTGTCTGTAATGATGCATCACTTTAGCACCCATAATGTCCTTTTTCTTAGCCAGCATGGTGGATATCGTTGACTGAGATTTGTTGTACTGCCTAGCCAGTCCAACAACCCACACACCATCTTCATATTTACGAATGATCTCTTGTTTCTGCTCTATGGTCATCCTTACATGGGAACTCATATGTTGAGCCTTGCTACTGACTTTCCTGGGACTCATGGTGTGATATATAATAATTACTTTAATGTTCAAAATGCAAAAAATCACCACAAAAGCGAAATTTCTTATAGGCGCGATCGTCACTAAGCGGGCAGCTGTAGTAAACTGAGGCAGGTCCGCCGCGTGACCGGGAACCACACGCTCGGTCAACCCGAACGTGTACCAACAAATATCGTAAGTCGACGACACCATCAGATGTCGAGTCGCATTTTTCAATGGAATTTACATCTTAACTCAAAATTATCGCAAGTAGGGGCAATTGTAAGTCGAGGTGCCACTGTACATTTGCAGAGACTAATATGTAGTTTTTGTTGAAAAAACAATTAATATGTTGTAATGCTATAATAAAATTGGTAAATTGACTTACTTTTTACGACGCTGAAGATTATGAAGCTGTGAAGATTACGTCATCCTCTGCAGTGCTTGTTTTATATTGTTCAGTACTGTATACAGGGTATATACAATATGTACACATATTTTCAGGCATTCAGTTCACACAACAGCAAGACTTACTACTAATTCACAAGAGTAACACACTGCACTTAAATAAAAAAAAAATGTTGACTAAGAGCTGTAACTCACTTGTACAGTTGAAAATTATTTCTATATTTACACTGTGTACAGTATACTGTGCAGTATCTTTTTGTCAAGGCTTAATTAATCATTAACACTTACAGTACTGTACTTTTTACACTAATTTATTTGAATTTCAATCATATTTTACATTGTTAGCGGATGCTCCACGACTTGTTGATGGGAATTCAGCATCGGCGGGTGCAGCATGGCTTGTAGAGCATTTGTTGCCTGTGGAGGCTGCACGACTTGTTGATGGGAATTCAGCATCGGCGGGTGCAGCATGGCTTGTAGAGCATTTGTTGCTTGTGGAGGCTGCACGACTTGTTGATGGGAACTCAGCATCGACAGGTTCAGCATGACTTGCAGAGCATTCGTTGCAAGTCATGACGGGAAAGCTGACGGGGGCTCTCCCCCAGAAAACCAGTGTTGAATATGATGAAACGCCATTTTCTTTGCGAGACCCGAAGGCTCCCTGGCGATACCCCTCCCTCCGGTCCACAGTTTTTTTGAATTTTGACATCCAGCCTCAGAACTTGGGGGGGGGGGGGTATGGATAGCTGGCACGGGGGATATGGGGATCCCCCTATCCCCTCCTGGGGAGGAGGGAGCTGCGTAGACAGCAGTGCAGTGACAGTGGGGGTGACATCATGCTTCTCCACTCATTTTTCGTTTGGGGGAGTTCTGTTCAACAGTTCGGCTTTCAGTAGCAATATTATAACCAGATAGGGTTTGTAAGACATAGAATGCTTCCAACCACACAGGGTTTTCTATTGGGAATTGGTCCTTGCGCCTTTCTGGAGGTGGGGGGGGGGGGTTAGGTTCTGGCTTGTGGTCCCCGGTAGGCCCAAGAACTCCATTTGCGTTGACTGATGCCAGGGGTTTAATACGGTACATTCATAACAGCCCGGATAGCTCCAGGGAGCCTCCGAGTCTTGCCCAGAAAATGGCGTTTCATTACATTCAGTGCTGTATTTTTTATATTAAATAATAAGCATCATCAATAGGACTGTTTTGTGACAGCTGTTGTTGTTTGAAGTTTTTTAATTGGTTTTGTGTTTTCCAAATAGAACATGTGTAGCTCTACTTAAACCAGTGATGTTTCCATTCCTGGTTATTCTTGAAGCTTGCGCACTGGCAAAATATTATATAAACTGAAGCCCTGTACTGCACTTCGCTTTATCCTCATATTCATAACACATTAAAAGTGGTCAGGCACTACATGTTCAAACATAAATACACACACATTACTCTACATTAAAGATCATTTAATCAAAGTACATGTAATATATTTTTCTGTGCAATTATTTAATTCAATAAAAGTTGCCATAGGTGTATTTGTCAGTCTGCCTCAAGTGTTCGATTTATTTTCAAGTTTTTATTGATGTTTAAATTTTCTCCACAGCTGAAAGCTTTCAAAAGACAACAGAGAATGATAAAGAACAGAGAATCTGCGAGTCTTTCAAGAAAAAAGAAAAAAGAGTATCTAACTGCCCTTGAAGGAAACATTGCAGATCTTCAAAAAGAGAATCAAAAGCTAAAAGAGGTATGTAATGTAATAGATTGCTTATTAATATTTAGCTTTTTAAATACAGTAATGGGCATTTCACCGATGTTATCGAATAAATGTATGGTGTCATTCTCCCATGCTTCATGTGCATGGTATCATTTTCCATTTTCCTATATTATAAATTATGTATGGTACCATTCACCAACATTACAAACTGTTCTCACATAATAGTACTTGGGGAGAGAGGTGTTGAGCTTCGGCTCTTTGGTCACGCCAATCAGCTGGTAATTACTTAACTATAATAACCTAAGTTTAGTTACATAATGAGAGCTACGCTCGTAGTGTCCTATCTTACCAGCACTGTCATAAAACCAGCGTTGAATGTAATGAAACGTCATTTTCTAGGTGAGCCCCGGAGGCTCCCTGAAGCTATCCAAGCTGATATGTGCTATACAGTATTAGTTTGGGGGTCATCAGCCACTGGAGTCCTTATGCTTTCTGGGAACCAGGCATAAGGGAGGAATGGCCTATGAGCTCTTTACATTTAAAGTACGTATGTCATAATTACCATCGACTAGGGAGGGCACCCAAAAAGATAGGCGAAACAAAACAGACCACAATCTGGTGAAAATTGTGACCTATGGTGACACCTTGGCTTAGGAATGGCCCTATTTACGAACTTTTCAGGTTATGAGCCCAATTTCTTCGTAAAATGTGAATCGTCTTGAGCTTTGCCTCTGGTAACGTATTTTGTTGATACGTGTATGGGCGACCTAGCGCGTGGTTCCTGGTGGCACAGTCACTTGTGCTTCAGTTTACCAGTCCCTCCTGCTTAGTGACAATTGTGCATGAATTCTTTGTAAAGAATTTAATTGTTTTTTGGCTAATTAGGTTTTGAACATAAAAGTAATTATTATATATCACACCATGGATCCCAAGCAAGCCAGTGGTAAGGTTCAACCTAAGAAAACACCTGTGAGGGATGACCATAGAGCAAAAACAAGAGATCATTTATAAACATGAAAATGGTACACGGGTTGTTAAACTAGCTAGGCAGTACAACAAATAAATGTCAATGATATGCACTGTAATTGTTATTTTAATAAAAAGGGCATTATTGAGAGCTAAAGTGGCAAAAGGCTTATCAATAATGATGAAACAAAGAACACAAACACTTGAGGATGTTGAAAAGTTCTTATTAATTTGGACACATAACAAGGAGTTAGCGGGTGATAGCGTTTCATAGGCCATCATTTGTGAAAAAGCAAGGCTATTGTATGGAAGATCTTTTAACACTATAGTGTGCCTGGTGCATGGCCCCCTTGCACCTAAAGGTAGACGGAGTATTGAGCGTGAACTCATCACCACATAAATAAGATTATACTCTATACCTGGCGTTATCCCTGACGTACTCGGGAGCACCGCTCCTGTGGCAGGTAAGTCCACTACGGGCTCACCATAGCCCGTACTAATTGCCCCGCTCCTGTGCCAGGTAAGTTACGGGATCACCATAGCCCATGTGCTACTTGGAACTTGTTTTGAGTAGCTAAATCTATTATTAAAAAAAGCATTTACCAGTCTTCTGACCATTTGTAGAGTTCATCTTGATCTTTTTGTAAGGTTTCAAGATTATAATATTTCCCACTCTTCCATAAATCTTTGTATTGTCTGCAAATTTGACGATGTGGTTTGTAATATTCACATCTATGTCGTTGATGTATATGACAAAAAGGGTATGTCCCAAAATGGATCCTTGTGGCACACTATTTATCACATTTCTCGTTTCAGATTTGTTTTCATTTAGCACAACTATTTGTTTTTTTTCCTTCAACCATTGTTTTAACCATTCAAATATTTTACCATTTATTCCATGGGCCTGTAATTTCCTTGCCAGTCTTTCATATGGTACCTTATCAAACGCTTTAGCAAAATCCATGTATACTACATCCACTGGAAGGCTTTTGTCTGAGTAGTTGGTTACCTTTTCCAAAAATGTGAGCAAATTTGTAAAGTGGGATCTGTTTTTAACAAATCCATGTGTTGATTGCACAAGGTTGTTCACTGAAAGATGATAAATGATTCCCTCCATGAGGATTCTCTCCATGAGCTTGCAGATGTGTGATGTCAAGCTGATTGGCTGGTAGTTTTCTGCAGAAGTCTTTCAGTCTTTTTTTAAAATATGGGTAACATTTGCATGTTTCCAATCTAGGGTGACTACCCCTTGGTCCATAGATTTTGTGAATAGTTTCAGTAGTAGGAGGCATAGTCCTTCTGCCAGTTCCTTTAAGACTTTGGATTGGATCCCATGCACACCTGGGGCTATTAAGTCTCTTTAGTTTGTCAATGTTCTTTCTAATTACGTACAGTATTTCGCACGTTATGGGTGTATCCCTAAATTCATTCTCCACTCCTTCAAACATTTGTGTGGGTGATGGGATATCATCCATCCTTTCAAGTGTGAATACTGATGTAAAATAATTATATAGTGTGTTTGCTGCCCTTTTATCATCCATTATAGCTTGTTAGTCTCATCTATTAAGGGTTCAACTGAGTCCTTTGTTTTGGTTTTACCTCTTATATAGGCATAGAATGATTTTGGATCTTTCTTTGTGTTTTGGCCAAGTTTTCTTTTATAGTTTCTTTTGGCTGCTCTGATTTTCTGAGTGGCCGAGTTTAGTGCCCATTTGTATAACTCATTGTGGATTTATACGTTCTCCAGAGGTTCCTCTTGGTTACCAATGCTTGTTTTATGACCTATGTCATCCATCTGGTTCATTTTCTTGTGTTTCTTCTTTTCGGCACATATTTCCCCGTGTAGTTGGAAGCATTCTATGTCTGCCATCGACCGGAACAGGCACCCAGAAAGGTAAGCGCCCCAAAACAAACCCCTATTCTGGTTAAAATTGCTACCTAATACCGAACTAGTGGATAGAACTCCCCAACCGAAAACAAGCAAATTAGTGTGACGTCACACACTGCCGCGCCGCTGTCTGCGCAGCTCCCCCCTCCCCGGGAGGGGGAAGGGGGAGCCCCAGACCCCCGCGCCGGCTACCCACACCTCAGTTCTTGAGGCTGATGCTATAGGCGATGGTCGTGTGCTCTGGCTCCGGTGTCGCTACTGCACTGTGCTTTGAGTGTGGTGTTAGTTTTGTGGGTGCGAGAGCCAGGAGTTATCTTCAGTACTCGGGCTGCATGCGCCTAGGGCTGCCTTCCCTAGGTGCCCTGTAAGTACTGCCCTTGGGGCTTGGGGCCACCTTCCACAGGCTCCTCGGGGTCTGCCTCTGCTGGTCCGTTATACCTTTCGGTTTTTCGGCCGCCTGTTGGGCTCTTGGGTGTTCTGTTCTCCCTTGTTACCGGCAGGTAAGAGGCAGTTTGCACTGGTAGGGGCGCAGGGTGCTGCTCAGCTTGTAATTCCCGACATCGCGGCCGGCTCTGTTCCTTGGGGTTCGCTGTCCTCTTGCGGGGTTTTGCTTTTCTTTTTGTTTTTGCCTGGTGGGGGGTTCTGTCATTTTATTCAGTTTGTTTTTGCCCTTCCACTGTTCTCCTCGGTGGCGCCCCCTGCTAGGTCCCCGTGAGTGTACACGTCCCTGGGGTTCAGCTTTAGAAGTTTGCTTGGTAGTTTTGGGCGCCGGTTTGCAGCACCCTGCCTGGGACTACCTGAGCGCGAGTCCTCTTAAAGTAAACGCTCAGGACCCTGGGAATCCCCTAGGGGGCGCGTGGGTCCGATGGATGTGACCCCGGAGTCCCCACTCGCTGTGTGCGAGTTTGAGGGTTGCTCGGTCCCCTTGTCTCAGGGTGACCCTCATTGTTTTTGCCTCTGCCGCGCTGCCTGTTGGGTCGGTGATACTTTCGACCCCGAGTCCTGTGAGTGTTGCTGCTTGCTTGTGACTCAATTTACCCAATCCTCTGATGATTCTATTCGGGTACAGGCGGCACGTGCGTTGCAGTCTAGGTTTCGTCTGTTGCAACGCGCTCGGTTGGTTGCTTCCCCGGATGCCCCGGGGCTGCCCCGCTTTGCTTTTCGAGACCCGGACTTGGGGGTGGGGGTCGCTTCGATCCTGGTTCAGTCCGCACCTCCTCGTCCTTCCCCTTCTGTTCGTTCTGGTCCCCCGCCCCTGCTTCCGGCCCCGAAGCGTCTGAGGGTTTCGGGGTCGGAGCAGGGGTTACTTGATCTCGAGACTCGGGCAGCTTCGGGGGTTGCCCCTTCCGGGGGGACGGCAGAGGCATTCGAGTCTTGTCTCCCGGCCGAAGCTTCAGGGTCTGACCAGTGGGCCCCCCTTCCTCCAGCTTTTCCGGCTGCTCCGTCCTTGTCTTGTGGGGTCGGGGCTTGGGGAGAGGACTCGGCCTCGGGTCCTGTGGTGACGGACCTCGAGGCTGGGGAGGGGCTGACTTGGGGGCCTTGGGCCCCGCTGGACCCCGCCGGGGTTTTTCTTCCCACTGAGCGGGGCTTATTGTTACAAGGAGTGGGGTTTTCTTTCCCCCCCTCTGCGTACGAGTTGGATTTGGTGTCGGCCCCTCCCCGGGTACGGTTCCGTGTTCCCCCAGGTACGTCGGTTCCGTCCTTCCGGAGGTTTTCGGCTTATCGCATCCAACCTGGTGTGGTGCGAGCGGCCTTTGCAGCTTACCTCCTGCGTGACCCGGATTATGCCTCGGAAATGGATCCGTCCACGTTCAGGTTTGGGACTTCGTTCCCTTTCTGGCTCCGTTACGAGGTTCCGGAGTCATCCTGGCTAGCAGACTGCCCCTTGTTTGGTCTGGATTCCTGGCATTCCTTCTGTCGTTCCCGCACGCTGGAGTGGCGGGAAGCTTCCACGGTGCTTCAGGTTTTCCTGGGGGGTGAACTTGAGTACCTGAATGAGTGCTTGTTTGCCCCTGCCCTTCCCCGCGATGTGGGCGTTATTCAGCTCCATGTGCAGGTTCCCTCCCTTTCGGCGGCGCTCGTGGCGGAGGACTTGCGCGCTCGGGGCCTTTTGTGTTCGGCCTTGCGGTTCTTTTCCCTCCTGGAGCTGTCTTCGGATTGGCTCGTGGAGGATGTG